CGATTTCCCCTACATTATACCGCGCCTGGCCAGGTATTAACCACGATTCGGTAGAAATGATGTGCGGCAAAAACGATCTGACCGACTGACCTCGATTACCTGTACCCGCAGCTGGTGCTGGGGTGCGTCGGGGACCACCCGCGCCTCAACGTGACCAAGACGTACGCGCTGTGCCTGGCGGTCTGCGGCACCGCCACGGCTGGCATGCTCGTGTTCACGGACCGCTACTGGCTGCTGATGCTGTCCTGCGCCGCGTTCGGCGTCACCTTCGGCTCCACCTTCTCGTTCACGCCCACCATCCTGGTCACGCTGGTGCCCATGGAGCGCTTCACGATCGCCTACGGCCTCAACCTGCTGTGCCAAGGCATCGGTAACCTGCTCGGACCGCCCTTCGCAGGTGCGCGCACTTTCTCCTCTCTCGTGACGATGTACTCTTGGAAGTAAGTGTCCTGCCCTAGTCAGCAGGAGTGCTCTCATGACACAATGCCTGCTTCGCTCTTCCGCAGGGTGGCTGTTCGACCTGACGGACTCCTGGGACTGGTCCTTCTATATGGCGGGCCTGTGGATCGTGGTGGCCGGCCTGCTGACGGGCCTCATCTCGTACACCAAGAACAGGACCCTCTTCAGCTCGCTGGCCACGGAGGTCGCCAGGGAGGCCACCAAGGCGGGCGGTGACGCGCACCCACCCCAGGACGCGAACGCTGACGGCGGCGACGATTTCGACACCGCGCCCTGCATGAAGGCCGCCGCCGCGGAGTCCGCGGTCACGGTGGTACCCATCGCGACAACCAAAGACGGAGTCCAACGGTGACCAGGCTGTCTCAGGACTGCTCGACACCACATCATAATCATCACCGACCTCACACCTTATCCGAAGTGCGCCGTGAGTGAACTGGAAAATTTGTGTACACCACAACGTCACAGACTCCGAAGGGACAAAAGAGGCCTGCTAAGGGTTTTCAGGTTTCAACTGCTCTATTGTGTGTCGTTGCCTTACTATGTATATTTTCTTAAAATGTTGCCAGTTAGTATCTGTGTGTGGCGCTCGTCCGCATTTCGTACCGTATTTTGGTATGGCAATGTCTATGATACTCCAACCCCAACATCTTTTCTGGCGTACGAGATGTTGACAGTAATAGATGCGGTGATAACGATTAGAAAATAATTTAATTATATTATTATCATCCTTTCTCAACTCTGACCTACAAACAGAATGACAAAAAAATGTTCGTTGTATCACAGTGACAGGGCACACGTCACGTCATGTATGGCTTGTGGAGGCGAGGCCCGTCACAGGTCCTCGCAGGCGTCGATCTCCTTTGGTACGGATGTCTTGGGTCCTATCTTGAGAGGGTCGCAGATGGTGCCCTCGGTGGCCTTTTCCACAGTGCCGGTCAGGATGCGGAAATTGTACTCCTGAAAATTAAAGTAAAATGAAAAGAGGGGCTTCGGAATATTGCACTTTGCGCCCCCGTTTCCGTGCCTCTTTTCCCGTTTACGCTCCTCGCTCGCTGGAGTCTCATCTGGGCGCTTTGGTGAAAAGCTTGCGCAGCTCGCTAAGCTTGCTAAGCTGAACCGTGAGCCGTGTCAGCCGTCTGGCTGAGCCGGGCAGTTCTGTCGCGACGGTCGCGACGGAGAACAAACCCGCGAATGAGCATGGAAAAAATATATATGGAAAAGCAGGAGCAACATGCAAAACTACGGTGAAAGGGCTCACTTCGAGCTACTATAACTTACGTCCGGGCTTAGGCTGCGGTACAGGTACAGGTGCAGGCGGTTGGAGAGGAGCCAGATGTTCTGCGGCTCCTCTCGGTCCACCTTCAGGTCGTTGGGGAAGTTGAGCAGCGCGCTGTCCTGGGCCACGTGGCCGACGGAGGAGCGGCCGTAGGGCTTGGCCGAGTCCCAGCAGCCTAGCGCGTCCTGCGTCACCAGGTTGAAGAAGAGCACCCCGCGCCGGTCCATGGCGGAGGCGGACGAATGCGACTGGTTGCGGCCGCGGGCGCCGAGCTGCGCATACGAGGACATCGGGGGCCAAGCTCAAGCTCAAGCTCTGCGGGCTCCGCAAGGGAAAAGCAAAATAGTAGTAGTGTGTTCTCTCACGCCGCGCTCACCAACTTGAACTCGTCCGGGTTGTCGTTGGCGAACGTCTCGTTCCGGATGACGGAGGTCTGCACGGCGAACTCGCGGAACGAGGCCATGGGGTGGAAGAACATGGTGCGGTCGCCGGTCTCCTTATCGATGGGGGACAGGGCAAGTCCGAAGATGCCGTCCATCCAACGGAACGTCGTGTTGTCCAGCACAAACCTGTGGCACGCGAAAGTAAAAAGACGTCGTGGGCGTCAAGAGAAGGAATCCGGCAATCAGAGGACCGAGGGGAAGCTGCCCGGCGGCACCCACCTGGCCGCGATAGGATCCGGGAAGAAGAGGTTGTGCGTGAGGCGGTAGGAGCGGTCCTCCCGCCAGCTGTACACAAGCAGGCCGTAGCGGAACACGTCGGCGGCGTACGCGAAGGCGTCGTCGCACTGGCCGTCCCGGATGTCCACCACGATGTTGGTAAAGAGTGACTCGGGTTTGGTCTGCGAAAAATAAATTTAAAAAAACACGATTATAAGTTGGGGAAAAAAAGTTTAAATTTAAACCACATTGTGGTCACGCTCACATGTTAAATCAATTACACCCAGAAAATGGCATCCTGAAACCAAGTAAATTTCTTTTTAAAAAATACAAGGAAATATTTGAGCTTGGTTTAAGGTTTTTCCGTTTTTTTTTTTT